ACGTACTATATGTAATAAAAAAGGGAAATTCATAATTAGTGTAGTAAAATAAGCAACATGAAAGCCAAAACGGATGAGTCACTGAGTAAAATGCAGTTAACTAATCAAAATGTGTTCAGTTGTCACAGTAAACTTGAGCAGTGTTCCAGTTCTCTATGGGTTGTCCCACATTGACCTCCATGTGGTGACATCTTCAGGCAGGCTTCATTCATAAAAACAAATACTAGAACAAGTCCAAGAACCTATTTGCCCACACTGCCCAAAGCAAGTCATCACATCTGTGTCATTATCCATAGGAAGTATCCATAGACTCACTGTGACTACATGCCAGACCTGTAAACTAATTTTTGTGTCTGGAGTGGAATGCACTGGTTAGCTGTCTCTGGTCTGTTGAAGTGTGTGGGCCATGTGCATACTAAGGCAAAGAGAGATGGGAACAATGAATATTAATAGTAACTAAAACAAAAATAATAAATCTTCATTTTTTGTTAACATAGTAAACAGAAACAGAAATAACTTCATGATCCTAAAAGCTTAATATTATGTAATTTACATAAGAAAAAATTTTTATTCGAACTTTACTCATGAGTACAAATATGTTCTTTCTCCTCAGTTCTCTGGATTTCCTCTTCACATGCCTTATTCTGAAGTGAAGCCTTTGATCGAAGCTGTTTATAGCACTGGAGTACATAACATTGACCTTCCTAATGTTGAGTTTGCTTTAGCTGTATATATCCACCCTTATCCCAAAAATGTTTTGTCTGTTTGGATCTATGTTGCTTCTCTTGTACGTAACAGGTAGTTTTTCAATGTGCTTTTTATATCCTCTAAAGAGTCTTGATATACACATTTTGAATTATAATGGAATCAAGAGAAAATATTATTTTGAAGTTATGAAATAAAATTATCATTATCTGTATAAAACTGTTTTAGTCTGTCTCCTCGTGACACTACCAGACTGTCTATGAGCACTAGCCTCCAGACTTTTGCACTTGCTTGTCTGGAGTACCCTTCACTTCCTGCTGACCAGAATGTCAACTCCAAGACCTAGTACGCTAACTCTTTACAACTTGTCTAGAGGAACAAAGAATTCCGCAGCATCAAATTTTGTAAATGCTGGGTGATCTCATAAAATTAATGGTACTTTACGAAAAACAATGCAAGCACTTACACACAGGCACAGCCTTGAAAACAATACAGTGCTAGGGTGAGCAAAACCTATATTTATAAGTCAAAAGGGATTGAAAAAGGAAAACAACTAAGGCAAGGCTGTGACTGAAAATCCACGTCATACCTTACACCCTTGCCCCTTCAAACTCAAACTGAGTTTCTCATCCCTAGTATGAAGTATTTGAAGATAAGTTTTGAAGAGGCAATTGGGTCATGAAGGCAGAGCTATGAGGTATTTACTGCGACTTTTTGCTATTAGAACAACCGTGAACCCTCACTTAGATGCATGCACCATGGAACACTCCCACCCTACCTCTACCTGCACATTTAAACACACACACAGCAGGGTGGGGAGAAATTATTTTCTATCTTTAGACAAGATCTTCAAGGGGTCTTCTCCTATCATATCTCATCTGTATCACTTTGGAAGGGTTCCAAAGCCCTTTCTTCTCTCCTATTAACCTCAGGCCTGCTCCATTTCTCATGTTCTGGGTTGCTGCAGAGGAGAGTTTGGAGGAGCTGAGAGCCCCTGCTGTGCAAAGAGACAAGCTGCTTAGAAGTCAAAGACAGATCACAGAGGCTACTTAAGTGCCTCCTACAATCAGATAAAGGAGAGAGATAAATGAGGTTTGTTTGTTTTTAAGGATAGAAGGGAGATATAGTGGTAATTGTTTAAGTGTTTTTAAGTAAATGTGGAATAAAGAAATCCAGGCCTTTGATCTCAAATGTAGGAAACAAAGGCACAGAGATAGAGAGGAAACCCTATCTCAACAAATAATAATGAGATATTAACTTCCATAGAAGGGAGAATGATTGAGAAAAATGCATTAAAGAAAATCTGAAAGGGTCTATGCCAGAGCAGGCAGCTGGGTTCTTTGAACATGTGTTGTATGGGAATTCTGGGATTGTTTAGCCTGGTATGACAAATTAATAGCCTGGAAATAGGCTTATATAGTAAGTAGAAGGGGATTTAATTATAGTTAAAAACAAGGAGAGGATGTTAATTCAAGTTACATATAAAGAGGAAGGGGATATATATATATATATATATATATATATATATATATATATATATATATCCAGATATATATATCTCCAGATATATATATATATATCCAGATATTAATTTCCATAGAAGGGAAAATTTAAGTATGCACAAATAAATTTAGGCCTTGATCTATTAAAAATTAATCATGTAAGAACAAGGCAGGGGATAGTGAAGGAGCTCTGTCTCAACAGACATTTGTTTAGATTGCTTTAACTGCTTTCAATTAATTATCAAAATGCATGTGGTTATAAGGTTGGTAGTTATATTAAAAATCCTCAGGGAGAGAGGTCAAAATAGAGCAGGTCTGAAGAAAATCGGGGCTGCTAATTTGAATCAATCTATACCTTTTCTAATTTTGGGCTACTGGACCAAGGAAGGACAAGCTATTTTGGGAGAGAGGGTCTCTATGTATGTTAATAGGAAAGAAGAAAGGGCCTTGGACCCCTTCCAATGAAATGTAATATATATTATAGGGGAAGACCCCCTGAAAATCTTGCCTACAGGCAGAAAGGAAGAGTTTGAGATCAAATAGGACAGGTAACATGATTTGCTGATTCCTCCACATGGGAACAGCTCTGTAAGTGGCTCAGACATAAGAATGTCTCTAGCCAAAACTTCAGCTAAAATTAGACAATAAATCTTATTGTTTATGGAATCCTTAATATTCATCATGCCATCATTCACATGGCATGAATGAAGATCTATTAAAATTAGATATTGGTCAAATTAACCCATAAAAGGAGCAAAAATTCATCTTTATCTGTGCACACTGTACAATCCATACAAATGTCTTAATACTAAAATTTTTGTTTTAAGATTCATATACTGCAGAATATATAGTTTGAGCAAGATTCATCCTCAGGGATGCTGAAATGACCTGCTGTTCCAGCTCCCTGCCTCCTGATGCTATTTCCAGAGACTTGCTTCCAGAACACCTTCAGGAATAGCTGCCGATTCCCGATGGACTCAGTTCATCCAGCCTTTCAGACAGATCCAGTCCAAACTTCAGTCAAGCCCTGAGCCTTCTAAGCATACAGAGACTAGATAATAGATGCTAAAGCTAGCTTTCTTAAGTCTAACCAATTTTTCTAATTTTTTTACCCCTCTCCACCCCTTTAAAAAAAATTGTTGCCCAGTTCAGCAGGAAGAAGTTGTAGAGAATTGTCATTGCTGGGAAAGGAAGAAGATGGCAGGTTTGAGAGCTGTAAAAGACAGAGTACCAATCATTAAGAGCTAAAAAAGAGTTGCCCCAGCCCCCCACCCCATTGGGTCTAGGGTAGCAAAAATGGAATATAGATTTTAGTAGGTAATAATAACTCAGGAGTATCAGAGGGACAGCGTTAGCAATGTGGAATTTTGGGAGTGGCCTGGCCACTGAGCTGATTAAGGAATACTAAATAGAAGGCTGCACGTGCATCTTTCATTTGAGAATACAGAGCACTGGGGCAAGTAGCAAGGAACTTGAGGAACTCCGCTGCCAGGGAGATTAGAGCGGATTTACCAACTACTACTATGGCCTTGCATTTAATAACACTTATCAGGTAGTGTGATGTAATTTATACAACTATTATGTTTTATTCTCAGAAGAAAATCAATCACAAAATCTCAAGTAAATTAAAACCAAGTATATAGTGTCATGTTAACTATTCTCTTATATTAAGAATGAAAAATCAAGAAAATGTATACATAAAGAAACTTCCATTATTTACAATTTTAGGAAACCAGTTGTTCAAAATTATTAAAGATAATATCCAAGACTACAGAAAAAAATCTCGCTATAAGCTACGCTGTTTCCTGATTACCTAAGGGATAGGCTGTCATCTTATCCTGATGATCCACAACCACTGTTAGTTGTGTAATTTCAAGTTGATGATGGGAAAGTGAAGTAGACATTTACGTAAGACTCATTCCTGAGGAATTTTCAGTTTGTTTTCTCAAAATGGAAAATGCTATCAACTTTACAAAAAAAGCTTTATTACACATTATGAGAGATAAAAAACATAGTAACTACAGCAGACCTTACAAAACTGAAAACTTCTGACTTGACTCTGTACTTGATTTCTTTTCACGTTCTCACAGAGAATGAGATACTGGTTTTCTTCCTGCACATACTTACTGGAGGAAGCTAATTTTAGTGTCCACAAAGACTTGATGACTTCATCACAGGGTAACAAACTCAAAATCTTAAGATTACCTGCTTTTACATGTGCTCAGCCCAATGCCAAGTTTTTAGGGTTCTATTTTGTTTCCAAATGACAACAGTAATTCATTCTTCAAACTGAAAACACTTGACAGCAGGGTAATACTTCAACGAGAATGCCAGTAGATATACCAGTGTTTAATTCATGTCAGGTGAACTGTAAAATGTTCCAGAACTCCTCCATGTTCCCATTAGATTGTTCTCGCTTCATCTTCAAACACACTCAAACAGTCGTCCATCAGTCTGAACTGAAACCTGCTCCTTGCAGTTGTGTCTTCCCAACTCTGTTCCTTTCCTGTAAACAGCCAGAAAATACAGCCACAAACGAAGCTGACTCAGGATTACTTCCTCCTCCCACAACTCTGTCTGCACTTAAGAGGAAGGAAAAGGAAGGGTGTGTGTGTGCTCTATTTTCTCCTTATGACAAATAATTATAATTAACTTCAAAATATAATTTAACTCAGTAATATTTAGTATCTAAAACTATTTTATGTGTCAGGATCATTTCATGGGCACCCAAAAAAACAAAACATTTGGTAAACTTAGATTGAGATTTAAAATAAAATCACAACACAAAAGATATTGCTTGGTAAAGTTTTCAAAGTAGATTTTATTTATACATTTCTTCAAACAATTGTGGAATTTTTAAAAATCCTTCTCGAATTAAACAGTTTAGGGACAGCAGTGGAAGCAGGTGACTACAGCAAATAGAAACAGACTGCTGTTTTGCTGGCTTACTGAGCCAGCACCAAGAGGCCAATTTATTCTATAATCTGAAAGAATCTTGCTTCTAAGTGTGTTTGTTTGGCCCCTGAGAATTGTTCAAATAAAGAAAAAGTTAGGGGAAAAGAGATTCATTTCTAAAATGTTCAGTCTCTGAAAATAAAACTTCAGAAATGTATATCTGGAAGAATCTGCAAAACTTGGTACAGTGTTTACACATAAGAGAACCAATAACCCCCACTGACTAAAATGCAAATAATCTAAAAATACTTTAAATAGCATGGTAGTAGTGATATTCTTTTTAAAGCATTTATTTCATTAAAAAAAAAAGAAGAAAGAAAGACTGTTCTCACCCTAACAAAAAATCCTAATCCTTTTCTAAAACAAAAATATATTTTGCAAGGAAAAACAACATTGTACAGTTCACTGCTATATTAAATTTCTGAGTCTCTAAGAAATGGGGCCAAAACAAGACACACCCAAAATGGGTTGTTAACACAAGAAATGTGCTATAAGTAAAGTGCATGAAAGGAAGCCTGCTCAGCTAAATGAAGTAGACAAAGATCAGAAGTCAAGGGTCATTCGCCAGAGCGGCAGCAGGCTCGAAAACCACACTGCAAATTCTGGCATCCACTGGCGGTGTCAGCATGAGGACCTGTATGAAAGTAAACAACATGTGAGGGGAGGTATTTCTTGGAGATCATGCAAAAACAGTTCTGCCTAAGAGTCTAATCTGTGTTTTACTAGCACTTAATTGACATCACACAAGTAAAATCTTAAAGCAAATGCAGTAAAAATTTAGACAAATTGCCAATAGCTGTCTGATTCCATCTAAAATATGGAATGATTAACGTAATAAAATTTCCCAAGAATCTTAGAACCCAAAGGAAAAAAGGAGACAAGACTTCTTTGAGCATCCTTCCTAAAAACATAATACAGAAAATAAAACCTATCTGAACTATGTCAGCTAAAGAATGCAGCAATGAACAATTAAAATAAATGTCATATTCAAAGTTTAAAACAATGTACTACATAGACACATCCTCAATATACGTTCCATACTCTGAGTATTTGTAGACCTCTAAACAAAAGGAAAAGATAGCTTTAGATGAAAATTCGTCCCAAAGCTGAATGCAAAACAAGTGGTTAAACATCTAGAACATAAATCTGTGATTCACTTACAATAATAAACCACTTATGGAATAGCTGGAATTTTACACCAGCTGTACTCTACTGCCCAGACACTAAATAAAAGATCGAAGTTTATTCAGGAACATAACTAGAAATCAGAAAAGTAACAAAGAGCGCTGACAAGGTTAGAGAATATTCTGATTAAATGATTTTCATAAGGAGAAACCAAGGTAGAGGGTTGTTTCTAGCATTTCGAAGACTCAATGTAGCTGGTATACTGAATTAATAAAGGAGCTCTTTATACTTCCACTGGAAAACCAAAGCTTGCAAATGTGATACACAAAAACTAAACAAAATGAGAACACATGAAGCAGCAGAACATCACTACAGAATGTATCTCATGAACTTAACATCTCCTTGCCCCTCAGTGCTTCCCAGCTTAACTGAGAATCCACTGAGAATCCATTTGCAGCATGCTATTTCCCACGAGCAGCAGTGTGGTGCAGGAGGAGGTGACTATGCTAATACCCAGAGACAGTACTTAGGATACCTGCAACTAAACATTTAGACTACATGTATCACCATAAGGACAACATTTCCTTCTATCCAAAGAAATCACGTATGAAAAAAATGAAGAATTTCTTAGGATAAAGTCACTGAAATATAATGTTCATATATTTTACTATGTAAATGACAAATTATCTTTAAGAAAAACACTCAACTTTATTTATATGTAGAACTGCAAGTGATTGTAAAGACTGGCATGCCTAGGATTAGCTTTAAGTAAGGGAAATGGACATGACATACAATATGGAAATGGGCAATAGTATAAACTTAAGACTGAACTCAGATTTCAGACTGTTGACACGGATGATACATGTTTAAAAAGTACCCTATACAACTGGAGTGCTACAGTACAATTTTTATTTAATAAAAATTAAAATCTTCCATTTTTAATTTGTTATATACCAAATATTTAAAATTTATAACACCATCTAAAGCAGTATTTTCTAGATAAAATAGGACATAAAGCTAAAATTAAAAAGGTTAGTATATATTTGTAGTTGATAGAAATACCTTGGTAAAGAATCCTAAACTTTAACATTCCTCTCCCACTGTCAGCCTTTAACCAAGTTTCCCTGTAAGGTATTTCCAGCTCCCTATGCACCAGTCAATCTTCGCCATCCCCTTGCTTAGCTTGGCTTCACTCATCACATATTACTGCTTTCACACCAAACACCTGATAGCGTCCTGTAAAAGCCAGGTACTGCCTCTCACCATCTCTCCACCCGCCCCTTGAGCTTTAATCTGATTCATGCTTAGACTGCTACATCTTAACAAAATGTACCTATTATTTATCAGTACACAATTCTATTCTCAGCAACTGTTGAAGAGATGAAAATTTTAATTTTCCAAATAAAAGACCATACATGTCTATATTCATACAACACACACATTTTTATTTGCTTGTCTCTCTTTTTAAGAGACAAGATCTTATGTCTTCCATGCTGGCTGCCAAGGTCTAGGTTCATCTTCGTACCTCAGCTTCCGAAGTCACTGGACTACACAGCTCCATATACCCTGCCTACACACATGCCCTTTATTTTGAGTGACAGAAAGGTAAAGAAGGAGTATTATACTGAATTCCATGGTGGCCTAGGAAAACAGCCAAAGCTAGAAGCATCAAAGACAAGTGTACAACTGGGTTTTAAGAGAGATAATAAAGACGCTCAATGACACATGTGGTCAAGGATGCTATTCTCCCATATGACACAATTCAAAGCATATCTGACTTCTTGCTAGCAAACTTCTACCTCACTGTAGAATAAAGGAGTCAAACAATTATTACATATCAGGCTAAATTATAGTAAGAATATAGAAAATTAAAGAGTAAACTGTCATAATTGTTAGAGCAAAGAATTCTTTTTTATATTTAGATGAAACAAGATACAAAGGAAGTTAATTCTATTTATAAAATGACATGTTTTTCTTGGTTTTAAGCATATATTGCTCATGCTATGTATGAGTATGTCTACACTTACCTTCACTTACCTTTAATTCCTTTTTTAACTTAAATTAGAAACATAAGAGAGCAAATCATCTGAGACTGTCACCTGCAGAACTATGAGCTAATCTACCTTAACTGCTAAATTATGCACAAACTGAAATGCAAAGCAGCACAAGAAAGTTACTAACATTGTTCAAATGTTCTTCAGCGCTCTAAACTATGCCATACAACAACTACATTAATGATAAAGACTTGTGTAAACATTACAGCTAAGACGCCTCACTTATCCAAATCAAGTCATTTAAAAATCATGGAGACTCATTCAGAAGAATTAGAATGTGTGTTTGGCATCAGATTTAAGACAGTATCTTGTTCAATGCAGTACTAGAGTAGCTGAGGGCTACATCCTTCCCAATGTCTCTGCCAGTGCCTAGAAGGCAGAGTATGCTCTCTTCGTTCACTATCTAGTCTACAAATAATGTTCATCAGCATTAAGGTTTTTCTTTTTTTTACTAACAATGTGGTAATTATGTAGATTTTCTTTTAACAAAATACATTTTAAATTAAATGTTACTTTCAAATATGTATGCTTCCTCATTACTCTGAATTAATCATGTACTAGATTATGACTATTAGCAGAAATAAAAATGAGGGATTCTACATCCTCACCAAGTATTTCCTGTACAAGCTGAGTATTTTTGAAAGAAACTATGTCAGTGGTGTCACCTTTTACAAGTGGGTACAATTCCAGCACCTTCTAAATTATATACTCTTTTACAAAGAAGACTGATTCTAAGTACCGCCTTAAAAACAACTACCTAGACTCCTAGAAAATGCATTATATGTAATCTTTAAAGCATTTCCATTTTTTCCAAATCATGCTCTATCAAGTTAAGAAGGGAAATTTAGAATTGTATTGTTTGAAGTACTGTAAATAGCTTTCAAACCTTTTTTAAAAGTCAGCTCTCTCAAAAGTTTCTACTGAAAATTAGAAATAAAAAAATTTACATTTGCCAAGCGGTGGTGGCGCACACCTTTAATCCCAGCACTTGGGAGGCAGAGGCAGGTGGATTTCTGAGTTCGAGGCCAGCCTGGTCTACAGAGTGAGTTCAGGACAGCCAGGACTACAGAGAAACTCTGTCTCGAAAAACAAAAACAAAAACAAACAAAAAAAATTTACATTCAACAGAGGAGTAAATAACTCCTTTGGAATGCTATTATATATTCAAAACAGATTAAGATTAAAAACAATAGAGAAAGTACAAAAGATTTTAAGCACTTTAACTTTTTCATCTAAATATTTTCCAATAAAACATTTAAGTACAAAGTAAGCAAATAATAAAATTGAATTAAAACTTAATACTTCCCATCAAAATACCTATATCCATTAAGCAAAACAAAGTACATTATGAAATCTGTTTCCAAATACAACCTATACTAAAATTATATAGGCAACTCAAAAGTAATATACAAATAAAATATCTTCATTAAAATTATGTATTAATTAGTCTTAAAATGAACCCTGTAAGCCTTAGGAAGCTTTGTTTTTAAAAGCTGTATTTATTTTTATCCTTTCAGATTGCATAGACATGTGCACAGGTATACATACATGAGTGCATCGGCCATAAAAGCCAGAACAGGGTGTTGGATCCCCTGGAGCCAGTTACAGTAAGTTGTGACCTGCTCCATGTATTGGGAACCAAACTCTGGTCCTTTGTAATAGCAATATGGGGTCATCCACTTAACCACTGAGTCATCTGTCCAGTCCCCCATGGCTTTATTTTTAACAGTAAGCAAAACTTACTTTGTTTTTATTTGTTCAGCTGGATTAAAAAAGAAAAAAAAAACACTCATTTTTCCACTGCTGGGTTACACTGCTGCTATCAAAAGAAAGCAAATATAGGCTCTAACAAGTTGCTTTTGTTAAGAACATGTCAACTCTTCCAGAAACAGGAGCTGAGATCTCCTGTCTTCTCATTTATTTTAAGAGAAACTAATTTCCAAGAAATGGAAAACTTGTTAACTTCTCTGCATTATAAAATCTTCTTCTTCTCTCTAGTTTCCCTGAATCCTGTTGACTGTTCTCCCAGAGATAAACTCTGGTCTTCCCTCTCCGTTGAGAATGAACCGGGCTTTCAAAACCAAAAGTATACAACATAAATAAAAGATAGGTGAATAAGAGAATGAAGCTACTTAAATTTGTTTCCAGTTACAAATACAGGATGATTTGTTCTGTTTATTAATAATTGAGGAGCACCTTTATTATGCTTCTGAAAAATTCAGTTTCTACTAAATGAGATCAAATGCCCCAAAGAGCAACAAACATTATTTGAAAATGCATGTTCCAATAGGCTCAATGAAGAACAGAATAGACTTTTTAAAAAAGAAAAAAAAAGGGCGGTAGGAATGTTTAACTAGTGGTGCTTGCGTGCGTGCGTGTATCCTGTGTGTATCTGCAGGGGTTAAAATGGGATCTCATGCAGCCCAAGCTGAACTTGAAATAAAGGATATCCTTGAATTACTGACACTACCTCCAGAGTGCTTAAACAAATGACAGACATCAAGCCACCACTCTTGTGGTACATGGTGCTAGGGCTTAAACCCTGAGCCTCATGCATGCTAACAAGCACTCTTCCAACCAGCTACTCCCCAAGCTCTACTTCGTGGCTTTTAAGTTGGTTCAGGAATCACCTTCTGAAAACAGTATAGAAAATTGTCATGCCTGTGGCATCTCATCTTTTCTCAATGCTACACAGTCTCCTCTCCTCATAAGGAGTTCACACTACCAAAGTCTTCCTTTGTTAGCTACCACATTAAATAAAGCAGTGCTGTGAGAAATAAATAAGTCTGTCATTCCTAAAAAATCATTGTATCGAAAAAGTCAACTTGTTAATGGGTAAATGCTAGAATACTACAGTTGAATTCCCAAAATCTTAGAATAATCTTATTGTTTCTATAACAATTTGTCATTTTTAAGTGATTTAAACTCTTACATGCCTAAAAATCTGGTACAATGGATAAGAAACACCTTCACAAAGTAAAAATGTGTGGTATTTTGCTTTTATTAAAGAACCAAATCATTTTAATTTTATTAAATTTAAAGGACTAAACCTCAAAATGAGACAATTTGTGCAATTAGGAATCTAGAAAGCAAATAAAAACTATAAAAATTATTAGAACTTCAAAAATCTTAAATTCTTCAAAGTATCTCACTGTTAAAAGGCATTACCGTTAATGTTGTCACAGTAGTAAAAGTATTCGTCATTTAGGGAAGGACATGCAGACACCAAATCCTGCAGCCCTGCACCAGTTACAGTCAGACAGCCAGAGAGATTCAGGTGCTCCAAGTAAGGCAGCCCTCCTCCCAGAGTCAGAACCCTGCAAAAGAAATACTGGGACAATCAGGAAATAGTAACCTTTGGAGTTTTTATATTGCTATGGACCACTAGTATTTTACATAACTCTCAAGTTGGCAATAAGTTAAGAATTTTTATAAAACACTGATAATAGACTCATCCCTAGGCAGAAATACATCTGACACACACACAAAAAAATCTACATTTTTCCTGAAGACTCCAATGAAGAAGTATATGACACTTTGTAAAAACATGATAGTAACTTAATTCTCACACAGAGAAACACTGAGACCTACAGTTGTACTGTTCATTCTCCTACAAAGCTAAGAAAATAAAAATAATCAAAATAAATTACTGAAATCTGAAACCTAGTTACCAGCTTCCCCCATACCCTAGTGAGGAGTGATCCCTGCAGTTTCTGACAGGGAAGCGAACTGACCCACCCAGAGAGCTTAAGAAAGAAAACCCACTACAGATCGACTTCATCAACTTGGATCAGACTTCAGGGAATCGAATGTCAGGCAGTTCATGGTTGGCATATTTAAAGCACAGTACAATTTGGGAAAAGGTTTCCAGGTAACATCAGTTCAATTCCAGGTGCACAATAACGCTTAAGGTGTGGCTACATAGAAAGTCTATTACAAAGTTTACGTGACCATGACTGTTGGTTCTATACCTAAAAGACCAAGAATCTAATGTGGTTTCTGACTACTAGCACAGAGGTCAACAGGCTATTAAAGTACATGTGCCTTCTCCCCTAAGGATTGGTAACTGTTTAGGGAGGAAAATCTGGGATAATTATTCTGGGGAATTTGAGTGAGGTCTGCCTCCACAGACAGTAAGGTCACCAGGTCATTATCAAAATCTACTCTCAGCTTTCTGGATGGGATACAGGTATCTGAGTATTAGCTCCTCCACTGAGGAGATACTCCTGCATAATTAACATTCTGTGAGTACTAGGACTCTATCCCCAACAATCTAGGAATTCCTTTTCTGGGTATACAAACAAAATAGAACCAAAGTTTTACACCAAAACTAGAATTTAAATGTCCACAGCAACATTATTCACATCAGGCAAAAAGCAAAACACCCCAACTGCCCACTGACGAATGATAATTGCCAACAACTGAGGACAAGGAAGAATTGGAGTAACTGCTACAAGTACAGGGCTTTTATTTTAAGGATGTTGAAAATGTATTAAAAGAGGATTCATGATGGTAAATTTGATACTATGTGACTTCATTTCTGCGTTTAAAAAGAAAACTTAATATCACGATCAAATCTAAAAACCACAGTAGAAATTAAAATATATCCAGAATAAAATTGAGATTGTCAAGTTACTATACAATGATAATTAAACAAATATCAAAAAATGATACAGAAGAGATAAATTAAGAAACTAGTATACCAAATTTAGTTTTAAAATGAATGCTGTTATAGTACATTAGGAACCAATGTAAGAAGGAAACTATTATGGAGATAAGAATGAACTATGATTTTTGAAACCTTCTTGCCAGACAGTACTGACTAGCCTAGAAGTCACGGTACAAAACAGGCTAGCAATGAACAGCAATTCTCCATCTATTCCTTCCTAAGAGCTGGGATTACAGGCATATGCCACATCTGGCCAGACTTACAGGAGTTACCAATACTAAAGAGAATACTGACTGGTAAAGATTAAAAGGGGCATGTTTTAAGTCTATTTTGTCTTACAGTCTAATATTAAAGATTTTTTCCCCACCATTTTTCCACCTCTATAGACTTCAGGTTAACAATGGTAGTAGTTCAGAATCTATGTGGTTTGACATGAATGAGGAAATTTTTTTTAGACAGGGTCTACAGTTCAAGCTGCCCTTGAACTCATATACCCAAGGATGGTCTGGAATTCAAAATTCTTTTGTCCAAGCCTCCTAAGTGCTAAAATTAATTGCCACAAGAAAAGTTTAAAAGGAAGAAAATACTTAAAATTCAATAATTCATAAACTCTAAGACCTTGAGCAATTTACAATAAAAAAATATGCCTTTTGAATATGAAAGCTCAAACGGTATCTGAATGAAATGTCAAATTTTACAAACGTACTTATATTTGTCATGTGTTCAGTCACTGGCTTTACTGGCTCTTAGTGGAAAAACAAACTATAAATACAAACAAGCAATTACAATACAGTATGTCTTCTAAGAAGACACAGAAGGTCTTGAAAGATCAGAAAACGTTTCTCATACTAGCATAATGGCATATGCTATGAAAGAAATAATGAGCAGAATTTGGCCAGCAGTACTATGTTACAGAGAGAAAATACAAAAACAAAACAAAACAAAAGCAGCACAGTACCATAGAAAAGGAGAAAACAGCTGTTTAGGGCTAATGTGGGGATGGATGGATGGATGGATGGATGGATGGATGGATGGATACATGTATGTATATGTGTGTATACCTGAGTGTCCGTGTGTCCGTGTGTGTGTGTATGTGTGTGTGTGTGTGTGTGTGTACATGTTTTTTGAGGGCAATGATGAGAATAAGAAAAAATAAAGGGATATCAAAGTTAAAATACTGTCTTTAGCCAAGGGCAGTATGACTCAATGAAAGACTGAGGTATGGTAACAATACGCAAGAAAATATCTATGTCTTGTTACAAATGCCCAATGATGCCAGACAGAGGCTTAAATAACAAAAAAACAAATGAATAATAAACAAATTCTGCCCTTAATCAGGGAAAGAAACATTTAAACAATAAAGCATACAAAAAGAAGGAAAAGCTACAGAAACGTGTACAAGTTATAGAACTGATGCAAACAACGGTGACTCAAAGGAGCTAATTTTTTGTTTGTTTTGGTTTTGAGACAGGATTTCCCTGTATAACCTTGGCTGTCCTAGAACTTGTTCTGTACATCAGGGTGCCCTTGAATTTATGAAGATTCGCCAGCCTCTGCTTCCCTAGTGCTGGGAGTTATGGCATATGTCACCACCTCCTGGCAAAGGGGAAGATTATTAAAGAATAAAACAAAGTCCCAAATTCAATAATATATAATTCAAACTATCTACTGCCCAACCAAAAACTATTAAATATTAAAAGAATCTGAGAGAAAAAAAATACATCAGTCAATAGAAACACACAGCAATAAATTACCAAGATAGTAGAGTTAGTAAACAATGACTTTAAGGACTTTTAGAGATCTCAACAAGATTGACAACTAAATGCCCCTAACAAATGGTCCCTACAGAAAAGACAGCCAAGACAACCAATAAAAACTATATTTTAATGAAACCAACACAAGGAGAAGGACCAGTACTCTAGAAACTCTGTAGAGCCCAGAGCCTGGAGTGGCCTCATAATTGAAAGCACACATTTCATTTCCAAAGCCCAATCCCCAACCAGCAACCATGATGAAGTTCTTATTCAAGGTAAAAGGAAAGAACGAACCTCTAGCAGCCTGCAACCACCTTGAACACTTACAGTCCCTCACAGTATTAAACACAACTGACAGCTACCTAGAGACCACACAGCTGTGACATGCCACAGAGAGAACCAACACTGTGTCCCATCTCCAACCCACACAACAACTGAATTATATAGTTTTGAAACCATGAACAACTGTTGTCCTGCTCTGGAGGAAGGAGTAATGGCTTCCTTTCCCCTCTAATACTTTGGGATCAGTCATCCCTGGTGGCCCAGGATTCCAAGGTCCCAGGGAGTAAATGCCTTAGTCAGAATTATGTCCTCTACGTGAGGCAAAATAGTACCCTGCCTCCAGAGAAAATAGTACCCTGGTCATCCTAAGCAGTCATACTATTCCCAATTTGAGATGGCACACTGTCTTCTGTGGAAACTAAAATCTAGGACCCATGGTACTGAGGGGTACTTCAGAGTCACTGACAATAGTTTTGGTTTTATTTTATTTTATATATAAAATAGTACCTTGCTCATCCTAAGCAGACATTACTATTCCCAGTCTGAAATGGCACACTGTCTTCTGAGGAAACTGAAACCTGGACCCATGGTGCTGAGGGGTACTTCAGAGTCACTGACAATAGTTTTGGTTTTATTTTATACGTGAGTGTTTTGCCTGGGTGTATGCCTGGTACCAGTGGAAGCCAGAAGAGGGCATTAGATTCCCTGGAACTGAACTTATGGACTTTATGGGCACTGACCTCAAAAGCAGCAAGAGCTTTCAATCACTGAGCCATCTCTCCAACCCCAGACACCAGTGTTTTGGCTCATCTGAATCCAAGTCTGCCTCAGAGATTGACCCTCTTCTAAGACTCAAGTGTCACATAGGTTTCTGAGATTGTGAGCTCAGAACTTGATTCTAGAGCTGCTCTCAGAGGCCTACACTCTGAAATACAGCATCTCTGCAGCTGCTTCTAAAAGATATGTCAGATTAAAAAAAAAAAAAAAAAGACAAAGTCAAATGCTGTTCTGGTGGTAGGTCTCTGGAAGGTTTTAGTGTATGACCAGTGAGTGGCTCACCAAAGACATGAAAGGAGGATTAAATTAAATGACAGAGTGGTGTGAATGAAAAAGATCATTTAGTTCTAGGGGCAGTTACCTTCCCTAAAGTAAACTTTGCAATTTCTCCCCTATAAGTATACTGAAGGACAAGATTATTCACTCAACTCAGTGCCTTTGAGCAGTCAAGCATGGCCCATGGAGAAGCTCCTGGAGCCTGTCAGAGCCCATTAGCCAGCTCCAGGAGCAAGCCTGGGAAGCACGTGCACAGCTTTACTCCCCCTTATCCTATCCTAAGCCAGGGGAAGCAACATAGGCTTGCCCTGCCAAACTCATGGGAGGTAGCAAGATACCCAGCATCCCTACAGCAGCACTCCAGACAAGACAGCAGCATCAGTTCAAGGAGGCCAGCTTTGATGCATAAGTAAATCTGAGGTCAGCCTGGACTACCTGGGATTCGGGATCTAAATAAATCCCTTACTTACACTTCACTTGTGAACCTCTACAAAAAAGACAAAAACGTCTGAAGGAAGGCATCTTAAACACAGAGAGAAAAGTACTCTTAAAAGTCACAGTACCAGAAATGAGCTACCTCTCTATGTCCTGGCAGCCAGGGAGGCCACTACTACTGTTTTGTTTAAATAAACGTGATATGCCTACATACTAGATTCTACTAAGTATTTGTGTGTATGCCCACAGATTAAAGTGACTGTCAATCTTAGTCATGGAGGAAAACTTTAAGCAGTTTTCTCAGAGACTCAGAATTTGTCAAGCTACTGAGATTAAGTGACAGCTGCCACTCTAGCAGGTGCTATAAGTGCTCAGACATAAATAGAGGAAAAAGACCAGATCTGTTCACCAGCCCCTCCAAAACTCAGATGTCACAGATGTGGGTATAGGATGAATCAAGAATTAGAGGAAGGGGTATACTATACCTCCTAAATTCAAACATTCTGTCCTAGAGGGAGAAGCTCAAAAGACTTAGCAGACTCACAAAACTAATGCAGAAAGTTCACCACACTTATAAGACTCAGCTCAAGATTCATAAGGCTGATTTCCAATATCACACCAGCAGTAAATAACTGTGGAGGATAAAAAAAAAAAAAAACTCTTCTTTAGAGCTGATTACAGGGAGAGCTGGGTACAGCTTTTATGACTCACTGTGAGCTTTTCAGTGATGCAGCTACCTTTAAAATTCATATTTAAGATCAAGAGACTCCAGAGAGCCAATAGTAAATAACAGAAGCTGGAAGACAAATTTCTAAACTTATTACAAAGATATGGTCACTAAAATTGTATTGTCATTTCTATTTATATTAAAACACTGTAAGTTTAGTCAGCACAACTGGATAAGCAAAACAAAGCAAAGGCATAAATGATCTGTTTATAAATAATACAAGTAGAAACCCTTAAGACTTGAGGGTATAGTTCCACTGAAAAGCACTTTGACATATCCAAGGTCTTGGGTTAGCTCATGGGAGAAAAGGGTCAAAAAAACAAAACAAAAAACAAAACACACATAGAGCTAAAAAGTTAAACAAAACAGGTGCAACAGACCAACACATAAAAATGAATTCCGTTACTAAACCTTTGCCCACCATGAGGGCATGCATACACCTACCACTCCAGAACTTGGGAAGCTGAACAGAGTTTGAGGGAAGCCTTTATGGTGAATGTCTGTCTCAAAACCAAATTATTTTCTATATACTAGCAATGAACAATCAAAAAGGGAAATTAAGAATGTATCTATTTGCAGTACCACCAAAAACCATGAAATACTAAAGTATTTGACTATTTCAGCTTATTTTAAATTATAGGTGTGTATGTTTCTCCATTTACTGCCTCCAACATTGTATAACTGGGGCTGAAGAAATGACTCGGAGGTTAAGAGGACTAACTGCTCTTCCAGTGGACCCAAGTTCCTTTCCCAGCACCCACATTAACTCGGTAACTCCAGTTCCAGGGGAGTCATCCATTGCCTCTGGCCTCTGCAGACACCTCCATATATGTGCCAATGCAAATACATACATCTGCATACATAATTAAAAATAAATCTAAAAACAAAAAGAATATTCTTAACCTAATAGCTCTAAGTGGGTCCCCTCAGCAGAAGGAAGACCTGGCTGCTGAGATCTGCCTCTCAGTCTCTGAAGAGCTATTGAATACTTTACTCCCACTTTTCTCTCCACTACAAAAAGGGGGGTTGGAGCAATTAACAAACGTCTAGGATGTTACACAGCTGAGCTGCTAGAGTTGCTGGCATGCATGAAGGTCTAGATGAGATCTCTAGCAATGCTGAAACTAGATGTAGTGTGCCTGTATGTATGTGTTCACCAAATTGCTATCTGGTCCTGCAGAGGACAGAAGAGAGCGCTGGGTCACCTAAGTTACAGGACAGGGAGTTTCAAGCTCCCATGTGCTGGGAAGTAGGATTGCAGTAAGTATGAAGGCAACCCCGGAGAGAAAAAGACCTTGCCTCAAAAAAGCAGTAAGTGTTGCCTTTAATAGCAGCACGCAGGAAGCAGAGCTAGGTGGATCTCTGCAAGTTCAAAGCTAGACTGGTCCACATGGCAAGCACCAAGCAGCCAAGGTTACTTACTAACAGTGTCTCAACAGCAGCAGCAACAAGTGGACACAGATCAACAGCAATTTGGTTTATAGGCACTTCACAGTATAAAAAAAAATCACACCAAACATGGTTGACAAAGTCCTGAATGTAAAATTTACTTCTGTAACATGTTCTTGAGACTATAGTCTATACATTTATCTACCAACTTGTATTATAAAAGTGTAATGTGGACAATTACTAAGCAATTAAACTTCTAAATGTATATTCCTGTATACTCCACAATGTATTTGAACTGACTAAAATGAAACTTCATGTTGGTATGTATCAGAAGTACTATTGCTCCAATACTCTTAACAAACCTTGGTTAACTTTCTTGCTTAAATAAACCAAGTGAAAACCTCACATCAGGAATACAATATTTCATCTGAGAATATGTCCATTTTCTAATAACTAGAGATGATCACCCACCTGAGACCATGGTCTGTGATCTGGTAACATCCAGACAGACTGAGGAACAAAAGTACTCGTCCAGTCTCTTGGTCAGACTTTTCACTCCCAAAATAAATTAAGTCTTTCCCCCTGGGCAGTGTAGTCCTTAATGCTTTTCTACACACTGCAGAAGTCGCTGGGAGTGTAGGCATAGTTCTTAAAGCTGTCCCTGTACAACAGAATGAATGTCCACAATATGCAAAGGCTGGAGAAGCACAATGCTGCTGCCAACAAACACTAGTCCTTAATCCCACAATGTCCTTACTGTAACAACCAGAGGAGGAACAACCAAAGTTGGAGGCTGTTTCCATCACACAGAGACTTTCAACATTTCTGTGTCTCCATTCTACAGCATCTTCAATATCAGCCAAATCTTCAGCATCTAGCATCCACACGTAAGGAGAAGGGAAACTTTCAGAAGACACAGGTTCAGTCCAAGTGTGCTCGTTGTCTATTTCTTCACCAACACCTTTGTCAGTTAAATTGTGCAAACAGGCATACTGCGTGGTGGATGGCACGGGAATGTCTTTACTTGTCCATGGAGTTGAAGTAGCCTTGCCTGCACTTTTCAGAAAGCCACTCTGATGAGATGTCAGAACTCCAAGAGCTCTAGAAATCTTCTCTAGAGCCATGTCTGTGATTTTTTCACATCCAGACAGATCAAGATGCCGAAGACTCTGGCAGCAACCAAGCCAAGACCAACTACAAGAGGGAAGAAGATGATTAAATTCCCCAAAAGCATTAAATTATACATACAGATGGGCATGAGCATTACTTTAAATACAAAATCATTAATTAAACATTTCTGGAATTTATTTCTATCATCAGGGAATATTTTAAGTACTAGGGATAAGAAAAAAATACTAAGACAAGTAATAAGAGAGAAAGAGAACGAGAGAAAGGGAGAAAGAGGAGAGAAAGAGAGAGAGGGAGAGAGGGGGAGAGAGAGAGAGAGAGAGAGGGAGAGAGAGAGAGAGAGAGAGAGAGAGAGAGAGAGAGAGAGAGAGAGAGAGAGAGGAGGAAAGAGGATAGGAGAGACTTAGTTTCCTGTACTAAAGCAGTTGGGGGGGAGGCAGCACACACATGAAAGAGTTGCTACAGCATAATAAAGGTATAGAAGAAACAAACGCTAGAAACAAGTAAAGACCCTCTCTCTCCCTCTGAAATAGGATCTATCAGAACTGTGAAGAAAGGGGAGCTAAAATAACAAGAAACCTAGAGATTTCTGAGGAAGAATCATTTGCCTGGCTTGAACAGACTGGTACTGAATCAAAAAATCAATGAATTACATTAAAAGGGAGCTTTGCCAAAAGGAACGTAAAATCTGAAATAAAACCTTGAGAATAGTAATACTGATCTATACAAATGACAATACTGATGCTCTAGATCAGCTGCCACATGTGAAGAAGGAGAAAAAAGATGGGAAGGTTCTATCAAGTCACCACCATACATGGCAGGGATTTAGCAGTAATACAGAGTAGAATTAGTAAACAGCAATTACGTATAAAAGAAAATACATAATTGTTTGCTGGCTTTATTTTATTTATTATATTTAGATATTTAAAATAAATAACCTGTCAAATGCAGAATCGGAAATGTCGGTCTGGGTAAGATCCAAATGTTCCAGGTTAGGACAAAGCTCTAAAATCTGCCTAACCTAAGAAGGAAAGGAAATCCACTGTGAGGTCCTGTAGGAACTTCAGTTAGATAAGCAACAGACAATGATAAATATAACACTGTGGTTTTTCCTAAGTCTATGTGCATACTGACAAAAATAAAATAAAATCACTCAAAGAATGCATTAAAACAGTTACACTCAGTGCTCAAATTACGTTTTGGTGTAGTGAAAATGGAGGCCAGAAGTTAATCCAGTATATCTTCCTCCATTTAATCTTCTGAGACGCGATCTCTTACTGAACTCTAAGCCATAGGTTCTGCTAGTGTAAATCTGCCTGTTTCTGTACTCATTTCTCCTGGACCTCAACACGGTGGTTACAAATACATGCCATTATACACATACCTGTACATTCTGGGGATCCAAACTCAGGTTCTCATGCTTGCACAAAAGGCACATACCAAATGAGCCTTTTACCTCTCATTTACACCCTGGGCCCACATTTCTAGTAATCTTCTTAAAGTTTCTTAGAAATTAGACCCAGAAAAAAAAAAAACCCTTTTAAAGGAATACTCAAGGAGATATTATGAAGTCATAATTTTATAAAACTAACTCATCTCATTTTTGCATCTTGCCATGCCTTACATGTTATAATCAACCATATAAAATTAAGACTCACCACCTAACATCTATAAATCCAAGTAAATGCTTAACTGACTAGTTTCAGTTCCCTTTTCTATAACACAGGCAAGATTACTATGCTACAAAGAATATCCTAAGAAATGAAACTATATGAAAGCAAACAATGTACTCCTATCCATGGGAAGAGACTCTATTCTTTCCGTCTTAGATAAACATTAATAAGCAAACCAAAGTTGTCTCACTATTTTTTTGTAATACTCAAGCTAGTGTTCATTTGTACATACCATTTTGCTGGAGACTGCAGAGCTGTATGCTAACACTAAAGTTTTTACAGAGGTACCAACATATGGCAGAACATTATGAATTAAGCCATGGAGTAAACGTTTTTCCATTTGTGCAATGCTGATAGCAACCGACTCCTCTGCAGACTCTTCTGTAAAATGAATTCAAACATCTAAGAACTAGATACACCAATTTTAAGTAGGCCACCAAAAGGATGCATCAAAATGCTAAATATGAAATACTCTATACTACCCTCACTTTTGCAAACAATTCACTTTCCAGCAACAATAAAAAGTTCTGAATAGTCAAAAAACTGTAAAACTTATTCAAGAGAAGGAATAAATGATCCATAACTTTTTGGCTTTTTTTAAAGTAACGTAAGTTATTCTACCTAATTAAAAAGGACGCAGAGCTAGATGTGAAACAACTTTATTAACCTTATCATTATGAATCTTAAGCAAAAGAAGACACCTTAGCTCATAAGAAGTTAAACATAAACATGGCCTTTGGCATTTAGTAACTTTTATAGAGCTTGGATGTCTATAACAATATTTCTCTAACAACAAACAAAAAACTACAGGTTTAGCTTGCCAGCAGATTGTCTTTACAGGATGGATGAAGACCTAAATTTAAGCCCCAAAATTAAGGAAAAGAAATTTTCCTACAACGCCAATTTAATAAAAAGAAACCACACTGTAAGTTAGGCCTAAAATCTGTCTGACTCTTCAAGATTCTATCTTTACTATACTAAACTCCCAACCTGACTGTACTGAACCATAAAGCAGCTTGATATACTAAAGATTTATTTAAAATAAAATTAAATATAGTACTTAAAAGAAAGCTATGTGAAAAGAGTAATTACTAAATATTTTACTGACTTCAACTATTTTATAAATACCTCAAATTCTTCCTTTACTTGGACAATATGTGTACCACTAAAAATCACTTCAGCAAACATTACTTATTCCACTATACTTTTATTTTTTTATTTTTTATTTTTTTATTTTTTATTTTTGGTTTTTCGAGACAGGGTTTCTCTGTATAGCCCTGGCTGTCCTGGAACTCACTCTGTAGACCAGGCTGGCCTCGAACTCAGAAATCCACCTGCCTCTGTCTCCCAAGTGCTGAGATTAAAGTGTGCCACCACTCCCCGGCTATACTTTTATTCTTAATTCATTCTTTTCCCCATGGTCATCTCTGTCTAAGTCTGCTTTGTTACTAAAAAAAAAAAAAAAAAAAAATCTACAGCTACACATTCTACTGCCAGCCACAGAGAAGCATATGACTGAAGCTAACTAAAATACTATCTGCCTTATTAAACAAATTTCCAAACTCCTGAAACTATACCAAAATGAGTCCTCTTCAATTCATAAAAATGTGAAACACTTTCACTACTGAAGTAATAATCATTGTAGTTCTTGTTTTCTATGTATACACACCTTCCACCTGACCAGCTTATTTTAGCTTTACAAACAGAAAATTCTTAAAATTTCTTACCTATAAATTTTTACTATTCTATGATGTTTTAAAAATTAACTAAAGTAGTATCTAAGACACAATCTGTCTTCCTCCCCTATACTCTCAAACATCACTGTGAACCTCTACTACAGCAATTCTCATTATGTACCTTGAATGAAGACAGTATATATTCTAAATTCTCCCTTGCTTCTATTTATTTAACAGAGGGATGAATTTTTATCTACTCTCAGACCATCCCTCATATAGTACTTAATGAGGGTAGACTAAAACTGCAACACAATTAATTTTCACATATGATTTTTTTTTTGTAGTGGAGACTAAACTCAGGGCTTTATACGTGTTATACAAATGCTCTACCCTAAGCTACACCCACCCAAAGTCTCTCAGACACATTACCTCTTAACTCTGTAACAACCCTGAGGCAAGTGACATGACTTTACAAACATACCTTCATCCTGTCTGCCATCTCTCAACCATCTCAACAGATGATTCAATAAACGCTGATGAACTGATTAACCAAAATACCCCTAAATCACATATCATAAGCTGCAAAGCACTATAATGAAGATGGTTTATTTCCACACAAAAATAGCTATCATTGTCTGATTTTGTTATTTTAATATTAAAAAAAACAAGAGAAACCATTCTCTTTTTTAAAAGACTTCTAACAAGAAATTCTAAATTTATTCATTATCCCCTAAAATTCTTCAGAGAAACAAGCTATTAAAGTCTTTAGAAAATATGAAATACATGTTTGAGGTCTAATAATTATTAACCAGAAAGCTAATTATTTAACCACCATGTAATAATTTTTATTCCAAGCATGAAATACCAGATTCATCTATATCGGCATCTTCATCCCATTCCTGGAAAGCACGACTTTCATCTTTCCTATTTCTCACCCATTCCTCATCAGGCTCAGTCTCAAGTTCAGTGGCAGGACCACTATACCAGTCACCTGCACAGTGAATGGACGAGAGGAACAAAGTCAAATTAGGTAGAAGATCAACATAATTCTTATTCACATTTGAACTTCAGGCAATAGCTATATGTAGAAATATCTGTGATTAAAAAAAAAACAACCTACACATACATAGTCAAAGGATTCAATTTAAAACATACAAAAAGAACTATGACTATATGAGTTTAATTAATAGCACTAATTACTAACCAACAGTAAGTATTTCCCAGGGTAATCTTTCTTTAAAACTAAAGAAAAAGAACTTGAGAAGCTTACATAGTCTGCTGTATACCTAGCCATGTATCTGTGTTACTCCTTATAAAGGGCAGAATAAAGCTTAGTATAATGAGGTTTCTAAGCATAATCTGATTTTTAAAAAAGTAAAAATTATCAGTATCTACAGTTATAATTTTTAAAATTGCTAGAAGTAACCTAATCTTTTCTTCTCTGCTGTGACTTCACTTTGGGTCCAGTAATAGCCCCATTCTGAGGACAGCTAGTTTCTCTATGGTGATTGGTCAGTAATGTACAGTAGGTAGAAACAGAAAACGGGGGCGCAATGAGGTAAAGCAAAATCGTAAGTGTAAGCTCCTACAATCACAGTACATGCATCCATGAAGATATAGAAAATAACTGTTAATTTATTAAAATTCTTAAAATTATATCTCCCTTAAGATTTCCCAACCTAGACGATTAAGGGCTCTAGGCTGGGTAGTTATTTGACGTAAGTTGCTGACCGACAGATTACAAGGTACTTACTAGCAACACAGGCCTCTCTACCCATTACATTCATGGTTCTCAACCTTCCTAATGCTATGGCTCTTTAATATAGTTCTTCATGTTGTGCTGACCCCCCCAACCATAAAATTATTTTGTTGCTACCTCAGAACTGTAATTTTGCTACTATTATGAATCATAATATAAATATCTTATATGTAGGATATCTGATATGCAACCCCAGAGGTCCCAGGGGTCCCAGCCCTGTAAGTTGAGAACCACTGCACTAGATGACAGCACAGTAACCAGAATCAAGACAGGCAAAGATGTCTCCAGACAGTGCAAATATCCCTGACAGGAGCAAAAACAAATACAAACAAAAGTAATGTTTAACTAAGGCTTGGTCTAAATATGTTAAAAACAGAGAAAAGTGAAGTTGTATAATTATGATGCAGTGGCTTCATGAAATAAGCATTATCACCTTTGATAGTATTCAAACCATTATTTGAGTTTGTCTTAATTCTTAATTAAAAACAACTGAACAAAAAAAATCTGATTCATTCATGTGCCTTATCTAACATTTTATTCAAATTTACCATCCTACAAGTAATATGAAAAACACATCCATACAAAACTAATAATTCTGACCACTTCTAACACTAAATATTTAAGAACAGCTTATTTCAAAACTGCCTCACCACGTGCCTCTCATTTCAGCACTAAGGAGTCTGATGCAGTAGGACAGAAATTGAGAGGAAAGATTCGGCAATAGAGTAAGAACATTTTTCAAAGCACAGTGCTGGCAGAGGAAGAAGGTGGATCTGGGTGAGTCCCAGGCCAGCCAGGAATACATAGTAAGATAGTAAAAAGCTGTCCTTCAAAAAAAGAAAAAAATAGCTACACATCTTACCAAATAAACTGTTTTTAAATAAGACTCATTAATTTAAATCAGTCAAAGTTTTCTTAAGAAATACACATTTCCATTGCAAAATGCCCTATACAGGGAAATTTTGAAGATGATACTTAAAAGATACTGTTTTAATTCAGTGACAAAATAATGTAGTATGCAATAGCTGTAAATATGCCATGACTGTATTACATACTCATGAGAAGTTTCTCTAAACCTTTGTATGTGAAAGCAACTTCTTAGCAAAATGAAACTAATGTGCTTTAAAGAGCAATACATTAACCATCACTGTAAAAAGCTATGTTAAAGACAAAACCAGTCACTTTAAGCCATGACCAAAGGAAAACTGTATGTATGTCACCTTTATATTTTACAGAAACTTATTCTATGTTTAAAATACTGAAATAACGTAATTATTTAACAGTTCTAAAAATCAATTATACTTATCTTAAACTTTTGCAATGAAAAATTCCAACAACTGTCATATGTACAAAGATATAGTACAATGAATTTCTGTGTACCTATTTTTTATCTTCAACAATTATCAACATTTTACCAGTAGTTTTTACAAACTCTGACATATTTTTCTTCATTATTCTAAAGGAAATAGCAGCCATTAAAAATTTACTCACAAATACTTCACCATGACTAGATCTTCTAAAATGTATACTAAAACCACATCAACTATAAAATCTATTTTTTAGTCAAACCCTCAAAGTTTCCCTTCTCTGCATTACATATTAATGGCTTTGACTACTTGCCTAAAAAGGCAGACTGAAATACTTTTTGAACAAATTCAAAGTCCCATTTACCTACCTCTTGCCCAATGAACAGGGTAAAGATGTTTCCACAAAGATCCTGTTTTTGCCAGCTGAGACCACTTAGTACTGACTTGACTGCACCGACACAATTCTTGAGGATTAAGGTAACTGAAAATGGACAGCATTACCTCAGGAGGAAGATGGGTTATACCTGTGCAGTGTTCTGACACTTCCGCTTCTGAAATAAAAAAAGAAAATCTTTAACAGTACAGCTATGTGAGCAAATGCAGTAAGAAATTACAATCACAAGTAAAAGCCAGTGCCTGAAGTTAATTCCTTCCTGCTTGCAACATGTGAAAAGGAAATAACACGTATTAGAGGTAACATGGGGATGTTAAACTATCACAGCCCAGATCATACTTCATCAGTGGGAGCTACAATAATGAACACAGAATTGACTTCCTCTTACAAAGGCATCATAGAAAAAACAATACTCACTTTGTATCATAAGGAACATCATTTGAAAAAGGAACCAAACAGGTTACACTGCTTTAAATCATCAAGCGTACAGTCAGCCAGATTATGAGATCTACGAAGCACTGTTAAATGACACACATGCTCACATTTTCTATTCATGCACTAAGACTCCTGTGAGTTCCTTCCTTGTGTTCCCTCTGACTTTGACATTTTGTAAAAGGTCTACGAAATCTGCTTCCTTTAATTTACAAATGCTTTAACCTATTTAAGCTATGTGCCTACTCAAAGAAAAACAAACATAGTGTGTTAAGATAAACTGAGTTAAGTACTATTTAAGAATTTGAGATTTACCAGGCAGTAGTGGTGGCGCCTCCAATCCTAGCACTCAGGAGGCAGAAACAGGCAGATCTCTGAGTTCAAGAACAGCCAGAACTAACACAGAGAACTCCTGTCTCAAAAAAGCCAAAAAAGCCAAAAATAAAAAAAGGAGGACAGAAGAAAAATGTGAGTATCTTATATATATGGTTTGTCTTCACAAAGAGTCTTAACTATAGAAACATATGATCAAACTACTTTAAACTGCCACTTTTAAAGTGCCAAATATTTTAAACACAGTGTAGCTATAATTTGCTTTGAAGGAGAGGGAAAATTAAATGTGTGTGATGCTTTTAAACTCCATTTTACAGTTACAATTAAACAAGACTTAACAGGCTTGGGCATGGTATCCAAGGCACAAGTTGTATTTCAAGAGCAAAGCTCATAAACTTTATGGGTTTAATCATAGCTTCAACTTGTTTTTGTTTAAACATGAATCTGACTACTTTAATATTGGAAAAATACCAATTTCAAAAAACTGTACGGTATTTTACAGGACTAACATTGCCATTGCCAATCTAGAAGCAGAAATGCTACTAGAGGAAAGCTGCCAACCACTTGCATTCTTTCGTTTGTCTTTTGTCCATGTAGCCCTGGCGGGCATGGAATTTGCTATATAGACTAAGCTGGCCTCAAACTTGGAGATCTGCCTGCTTCTGTGCCTCCAAATTGCTGAGATTAGAGGTCTGTACAATCATGCCTAGAATCAACTGTTTTTTTAATGTTTTAAAAAGCAAAACGATTGAGATGAATAAAATAATCAAAGTCTACTAGAAGAAATAAGCATCTATTTTATTTGCACTTCTTGTATACATTCTCAATATGACTGAAAGGATCTACATGGTAGCATACAATCAACTGTAACTCCAGTCCCAGAGGATCTGCCACCCTCTTCTGGCGTATCCAAGTACTGAATGCAAATGGCACACAGATACACACACAAGCAAAACACCCATATATATACAATAAAAATAAAGAAAAAGCCTCTTACTGTATAGTGACAGAAACATAGAAAAAAATCTGTCACTATAATCAAAAGAGCTCAGAAAGCTGGCTG